TAGTACGGATTCCCTAGGCAGAGCGTTGAATAATAAGTGCCTTGAATGAGCTTCAGTGGTTGAAGTGAGTGGAAGAAACAGCTGCCGCACCGCCACCCAAGTATCGTTGTCTTTCTCACCCACAACAGCCACCAATGCAGGGCGTACCGCCCTGACGCGCATCGCATCCGCGGAGCTCCCATCTCTCGTCTTTTTTTTTTTGCTCTCAATTCGACTTTCCTGCAACTTAAAAAAAAATCCTGCATCTAATGTTCAGCTTCTCGACGTCTCCCGCCGCCGTTCGTTCTCTTTGTCCTTTCTTTCCCTCGCAGGTTCGCACCTGGGTCCTCCGCGACATCTACCGTCTTTCTATTCGTCGATATCTCCCGCCCACTGAAGTACCCTGTACCCTGGCATTCAGTCCATTCAATCCATTCATCGGAAGCTCGGCTGCGAAAAAGGAATCAAGTCGAAGAAAATGTCTATGTAACTTACGGTGAGGAGTTTCAAGCCCAGAAAGCCTCGGTGGTGGATGGCCCACACCTACATTGAATGGATTTCACCCTTTATTATCGACCCAGAGCCGTGTCCTAGTTTCGCCAAAAACTTTTGCTTTTTATCGCGGCAGCCCGACCTCCCTCTCCCATCTTTCGTTCTTCGACGTCTCCCGCCAGTCGAAACAGCGAATTACGATCCCCGAGACCCTCGATGTTAAGTACTGTCAGTCACCGACATGTTCATCGTCAGGCTCTGAGTGAAATTACTTATAATGCGCATGTAAGCCCTTAGAAGCCCTTACAACGGGAAGTTTCAAGCCTAAGCAAGGCTCGGTGGTGGATGGTCCACACCTACATGTCATATACTTACTGTAAGGTGACGGTATCGTGATTTCATTTAGAGAGCTCGTTCGATTCGAGTCCGAGCCATCCGCTTGTTCCCAATGTCCATTTTTTTCTTCGCAGCACCGACTCGGAGTGCGCTAAGGAACTCCAATCATCCCCTCCTCATATAACTTAGGGCAGGGAGTTTCCAATCTAAAGCAAGGCTTGGTGGTGGATGACCCACACCTACATTGAATAAACTTCTCCTTCGACTTGATCATGTAGGACTCGAAGCTCGTTCGATTCGGGCCCAGGCCTTCCACGGTTAGCAACCAAGTTTTTTTTCTATCGCAGCGCCTACTGCGCCAACTAATGAATCCGCTTTCTCCTCCTATTCGGCGAATCATAAGCATCGTCAACGAGCATCTATGCAAAAATTACATATCTGGACCCATAAATACATCGTAAAAACGTAGACGCAGACGTCATGTAGATCGTACTTTTATAATTATCCCCCGTCCGTCCATCCATCCATCCATCCTCGAAGATCCCCACGCCCGCCCCGCGGCGAGCCCTGATGGCAAAGCGCGCGACAAGTATGTCTCGTCCCCTCACTCACACAAACACACCACACCCTACTCACTTCCTTAGCCGCTCCTCCACCACGCCCCGCACGGCCCTCACCACCGCCCCGACATCCACCGTCTTCTGCACATCGACGCGCATGTACTGGTTCCCCATCATGTGCGCCATGTTGTGGAAGTGTTGGTTCTACAGGTGGGGCGTTAGCGTTTGTTTCGAGTGGGGAGAGTAAGTGATGCGGAGGACGGCAAAAAGAAAGAAATGGCAAAGCGGGAAAACGGAAACACGGAAAGGAAGGGAGGATGAGCACGGATGGACGGACGGATAGGAACGCCGCAAAGTGAGGAAATCGGCGACGGCCGCGGTAAATCGGAAAAGCGGGAACTCGGAAAAAACGGAGAAGAGGGTCGGGAAAGCGGAAAAAAGGGAGAACGGCAGGGAGGGAGGACAGATGGGGGTGGGTGGGTGGCTGAGAAGGGAAGGGAGGCAGGCACGGGAAGCGCGGACAAGGCAAGCGAGGAAGAAAGAAGGGAAAGCGGAAGGAGGATCGGGTAGACGGATAGACGGGTATACAGAAAGCGAGGAGGCGGGTGGACGGGTGGACGGAGAAAAGGGAAGGAAGGGGGGAGGAACGACGGAAGGATGTGCGGAAGGAGGCGAGGAAGGGTACGCGGTAGTACGGAAGCATGAGAACACAGCAGCTATCACGGTGCCCACCCGCAAAACGAAAACGAGGGGAAGAACGAGTGCGCGGATACGCGGACGTGACCACGCCACCTACCCCGCGTACCGATACTGTAGCCGCCAGCGCACGCCCCACCTCCCCAAGTCCCCTCAGGAACCACCCCCCTCCAAAAAAAAAAAAAAAAAGATCGAAACAAACTCTCAATTACTCACCCCAGACGCCCCCGTCGTCACCAACTCCACCACACTCGCCCTCCCCGTCGGCATAAACAGCGTCAGCCCCAACGCCCCCGCATGCACGCTCACCACCACATCCGCGCGCCCCACCGCGCCGATCTGCGCCGCCAGCGCGGTCGTCGTCGGGTCCAGCGTCGCGAAGCGGAGCGCGCGCGGGCCGGCGGTGGGGGCGCGGGGTGTGTGGGAGGTGGAGTTTCCCCAGCGGCGCTCGTTCGCGCTGCCCTCGCCTGGGGGACCGCCAACGCCCGCGTCCGCCGCTCCGCCTTCGCCTCCCTTGCTCCCGGCACTCTGGCCTGCGCCGGCGCCTGCGCTCGAGTCGGAATCATGCTGCGGTTGTGAGCCTGAGCCCTCCTCAGATTTGGATTTCGAACCCGAGCCCCGCTTAATCCCCAACGCCCTCGCCTCCCTCGCATGCATCCTCACGCCCCACGACCCAGGCAACAAATCCGCGTCCGTATACGTGCAGTCGTGCGCGCCCGGCGTGTGTCCTTGGGTGTCTGTAAGCGGGAGGGCGTCGCGTCAGTAGGGGTTGGAGAACAGAAATGGAAGACACAAACCTTGAGCGGGTCCCCCCGGCACACCCGTAACGACGCGACAAAGCCCCGCCAGGCCCGCGCGCAGCCCCGCTTTGAGGGCGCCCTCGTTTGTGATGTGTCGCGCTTCTTGCCAGCCGGTGAGCTGTTTGTTGGAGTGTCTGTAGGAGGGAGGGGGAGGGTTAGTTATTATTGCTATTATTATTAAGGAGGGAAGAAGTGAAGAAGGGGGGACGAGGACGGGAAGAGTAGAATAGGTGGTAGTACAACGAAAAAAAAAACACGCACCTCGTATACGCATCGAATTTTTCCCTCGATAAGAACAGCACCTGGATCGGTTCCCCGCCCACTTGCTCTTGTTTTCCTATCGGTGCCCGCCTCTCCACCCCTTCCTCGTCCAACCCACGCCGCTCAAAGTCCCCAGAAAACGAAGAAGTCTCGAACCCCGCAGGCAGTCCCTCAAACCCCCACACCCACCGCAACCACAAACTCGCGCCCCACACCAGCTCGCTCGCGCATTTGTGTTCTTTCCCGACGCCCGTGGCGCTGAGGAGCGAGGCGCCGGCGCCGACGGAGTGGAAGGCGGTGGTGAAGCAGGTGCGGCCTGTGCGTGCGTTGTCAGTCGGGTGATACTATTTTTTTTTTAAAAAAAAGAAGAAACACTCACCCCCCTCCCCCAGCCCCTCCGCACCCGTCCTCCTGGGCCCAAACGCCCCAATCCGATCATACAGCGACGCAAATAAGGACGACGGCAGATAGTCGTCCTGAAAGATGAGCTGCAGATTCGCCGTGTGCGTTAGCTGTGCTGCGAGTGCCTTTGCTTGACTTTTAAATTCCTCCGCCGCCTTGTCTTTACTCGAGGTCCAAGAACCGGAGATGGAGGAAGCGTAGGCGGAGGAGAGGGAGGTCCATAGGGATTTCTCGACAGAGGAGGAGGAGGCAGAGTGGCGGGAGAAGATGGTTAGGGCGAGGAAGGTGGTGACGAGGTCCTCGCCGACGTGGAACGGGTTCCACCGGTCCTGGCGCGGGACGAAGAGGACGGGGTGCGTGAGCGTCTCCGCGCACGGCTCCTCCTTCCCTCCCTCTTCCTCGGAAAACTCGACCCCAAGGAACATTTCCCGCCCCATCCCGTCCTTTAGCCGCGAGCCCCGGTCGCCGATGCGGCACGTCCCTTTGAAGGTGCCCCGGCCGGGGTAGGAGCCGCCCCAGCCGGCTGTGTGTGAGAGGGAGGAGGAGGAGCAGAAAGATTGGGGGTAGGGCCACCAGGCGTTGGGGGTGCCTGGGGGGGCAGCGGAGCCGGCGGGGAAGCAAGTTATGGAGGCGGGGGAGGTGTCTGTCGTCGCGTCAATATAAATGGAATAAAATAAAAGGGAAAGGGGCGCACCAGTCTTTTCGCAATAGGGCACGGCATTGTCGATGTAAGCATCGACCATACGCGCGCTGAGTTGGCCACCGCACGTGTTGAGCCCGCGGGTGTGGATCTCAGCTTGTGCGCGCGCGAGGAACAGGCGCGCATGGAGCGTCGGGTGGGTGTCGCGGAAGAATGGCGACGAGGGGCCGTCTGCGCTGCTCTCATACCCTGCATCATCCCCGGAGGCATAGTCGTTGTCCCATCCAGCGGAACCAGACCCAGACGAAGACGAGGGGGAGAAGGACAACGACGACGGTGTAAAGACGAGGTACACTACAAGGGTCGAGCTCAGGACAAGAACAGCGAGAAAGGCGAGGAGGCGGCGGATGCGGGTTGGGGGCGCGGCGGGAGTGAGGCGGGAGAGGAGGGCTTTGGCGTGCGAGGGCGGGTAGCCTGTGCCGCCGTTCTGTGCAGTCGTGGGCAGCGGGGTGTAGGCTGCGGACATGTTAGTTGGTGAGTTTCAGAAAGAGCGCTCGTGCATAGCCAAGGACAGGATTATTTGGTGGCGGTGCAGCGTGCCGATCTCTCTTCTTGCTGACCACCAGTCGAGGCACGGCTATTGCACTCTATTCAAAGCCCATTCTCTGCGCCACGTATTCTGCAAACTCGTCGTTGATATCCTCCCGTGCGGTTACTGCATCAGATCTTCTCTCCATTCACTGCAACCGGGACAACATAAATTGCGTCCGAGCGCTTATTCAATTGCTGAAGCACAGAATACAAAAGAAAAAAAACGCAGCGACAACTTGGAAATGGCTCGGGCCCGAATCGAACGGGCACTTTCTGCATGAACCAGCTCCTTCAAGCACTAATTACCTGCACAGGTAATGCAAACGTGGACCATCCACTACCGAGCCGTTTCTCCTCTTAGAACCGGCTCTCTCTACGTATTGCAATTCTGCAAACACGGAGCAAAGAAAATGAGGTGCTTAGCTCCTACATATGGCCTAGGCCCGAATCGAACGAGCTGTTTTTGTAATAACTTGTTCCCCAAGGGAATGCAAACTTGGACCACCCACCACCAAGCCTTTCTATCCTTGCACATCCCTTCCTACCAAAGAGTGAGCAAAAATTGTCCAAAAAGTCGCCTCCACAACGACGGGACGACTCAGGCCCGAATCGAACGAGCTCTTTCTGCATTTAGTCGAATGTGCCCATGTTAAGGAATGCAGATGTGGACCGTCCACTACCAAGCCCTGGACCTCTGTGTTTCCTGGGACCTTTAATCCCTTCCTCCATAACACATTTCTCAATGGAAAGAGCGACAAAAAAAAACATCTTCACCGGTGGTCACCACACACGGCTGGGGCCCAAATTGAACGAGCTGTCTCCGCGTCAACCCCAGGCAAAGCTCATGAGGAATACAGACATGGACCATCCACCACCAAGCCTTTCTCTCTCCTTCAACTGGCCCATCCTACATGCGCGATTTTTGTAAAATTTGAAATGCGATGTTTAAAAATGTGATGCTATACCCGCTCATGACTCGGGCCCGAAACGAACGAGCTCTTTCTGCATCAACTTATTTTCATGCCCAAGCCAAGGAATGCAGACGTGGACCATCCACCACCAAGCCGTTCTGAATGTTTAAACTACGCTCCCTACCTCCCAGAGTTTGTTTTGCGCGTATGGGGAAAATTTATATTGCAGTTTGTCAAGTCAATCCTCTCTATGGTCATTCAAAAGAGTCTCACTTTCAGCCATGTTTAATAATTAATGATGATCAAGAAAAACGAGAAAAAATGTTTGGACAAAACCCTGGACCACCCATGGCTTGGGCCCGAATCGAACGAGCTGTTTTTGCATCATCTCAGAAGAATGCCGCGAAGGAATTACAAACGTGGTTCATCCACCACCAAGCCTTTTGTATCCTTGAACTGACCCATCTTACATACACGATTTTTGTAAGGACCGACAAACTTGAAATATGATGTTTTAAAAAGATCAATGACACACGGTCCATGGCTCGAGCCCGAACGAACGAGCTCTTTCTGCATTAACTTACTCTCATGCCTGATCCAAGGAATGCAGACGTGGACCATCCATCACCGAGCCGTTCTGAATGTTTAAGCTATGGTTCCTATATCCCAGATTTTTGTGTGCGGGCAAAATTTATGCTGCTGTTTGTCAAGTCAATAATGCTCTCCGTGGTCATGCGTTTAAAGAGCCTCACTTTCAGCCCTTCCTTGACAATTAACGGCATATTTGAGCGTGATAAAGCAAAACACAAAGAGAGGAAGGAGAAAAAAATGCTTATACAACACCCACCAATGGTTTGTGCCCGAATCGAACGAGCTCTTTCTGCATCAACCGAAAGTCAGGTCCACTAAAGGAATGCAGACGTGGACCATCCACTGCCAAGCCTTCTGTATCCTTGAAACGCATTCTACATACACGATTTTTGTATAAAAAACTGACAAATTTGAAAGGTGAGGTTTAAAAATGGGACGGCGCAACTACGGCTCGGGCCCGAACCGAACGAGTTCTTCCTGCGTCATATGCTACACCACAATACTGTACTCGGACAATGCACAGATGTGGACCATCCACCACCGAGCCGTTCTAAATCTTCAATCCACCCTCCATATATACACACCGGATTTTCTCCAACAGGTATGTACCTCGCTGGTCAAGTCAGGGTTTCTGCGTCCATAATAGCCCCACTTCCAGCGTTCACTTCATAATGAGCTGAAGCAGCTCTACCTTATATTTAGGTGAACCGAAAATAAAGATTCTTGGGTTTTCGTTATGGCTCGGGCCCGAATCGAACGGGCGGTTTCTGCTTTGAAGAATGGTGCCGCAACCTATGCAGAGGTGGACCATCCACTACCAAGTCGTTCTAAACGTTCAAATTGCCCTCCATAAATCCGGGAGCTCTGTAACAGGCGAGCAAAATTGCCTTGCTTGTCGTCGTCAAGTCATGATCTCTCCACCGTCATAACAGCCCAAATTTCGGTGCTCACTTCCGCCCACAATTTCAGCCTGACGAAAGAAAAACACACAAAAGTGGGTTTACAAAAACTGGCATAAAATGCAGGAACGGCTTGGGCCCGAATCGAACGGGCTGTTTCTGCATGAACAAGAAGGTAACGCAGGTGTGGCTCATTCACCGCCAAGCCGTTCTGACTCGAAAGCACCCTCCATACTGGAACTCTCCCTTCAGTATTCTTGCAAGAAATGAGAAAAATTGCTCAAACAGACAACACCATTGTCACCCTCCGGCTCGGGGCCGAATCGAGTGAGCGATAGGGCGCTGTTTATAATTCCCCAGGCAATTATAAACAGTTTTGAATTTTCGGTTTGTAAACAGGGTGTTTATAAACCGGTTTATAAACACCCAACCAAGTATGCTTGAGAACTGGACTCCTCGCAGGTTTGGCGATGTTTTCGTGTCCGCAGCGGCAAGTTGAAGACTCTGGCGGCTTCGTGAATGCTTCAATCTCAGTCTCAGCTCAGAATGACTTCATAGAGCTTGATTCCCAGTTAAACATGACTTATTTGTGTTCATACTCAGTGGTGTAGGCTGCCTGGTTCTGTCGGAAAAGTAGCGAACCCTCATATAACATATCAGTTCAGTTGTCACCCAGGCTAACTCAAACTCATTGCCAAAATCTGGCCAAAAATGCTCCCTCCCCGGCCAACAGAGCACTGCCACAATGAATAAAAAAACCGGGTGGTTTGCCCAAACTTTTTAAACCGGGTTTATAAACCGGTGTTTATAAACATGTTTACAAACCAGACTAATAAACAGCGCCCTAGTGAGCGAGCTCTGCATCAACTTGGATGGAACACTATACTATCCAACACCGAGCCTTTCCCGAGCTAAAAATATTCTCTATATAAATTCTGGGTGGAGACTGAAAAGACGAATTACAGACCCAAATCTCTCAAGCCTTCCTCCCGTCGACAATTTTTGAGTTGAACATACTACGGAACAAGCCGGATCAATCCATTGATGATGTGCCGGCACTGGCACTTGCTCCTTGGCAATTTGCCGCCATCTCGAAATTCAAGTTCCCTTCAGCGACCAGCCACCATTACATCAATCTCATGGGCAACTCGAAGACCTCTCGCTGGTTCCGAGTTGACATTCTTGAGCCGCTGGGAGAGAATTCGCTCTAAAACGGAGCGCTAGACTGGCGGAAATCCATTCGACTCCCTCTCGGTCGAGAAGGTCCGAACAGCCCGGAAACCAGTGTTTTGACAGTTTTTATTGGATCCATCTCGACGCCAAAACGTTCAACGCAGAGCCCATCAACTGTGGAATTGGCCTATCGATGAAATCACCCCGATTCTATCTTCGAGGTCGACGGTTTCGTATCCAACATATCCCGCCTCATCCCCCCCACATCCTAATTCATGCACAATATAGCATCCAAGATTATTAACTGGTGGGGCTTGGTTGCAAAAGACCGAATCTTGGTTCGTCGGTCGATTTGCAGAGAATTAACGCCGGTCGAGAGCCGCCTCTCTACCACTTCAACGTGAAATCCAGAGAGTCGACCGGTTTGGCAATGGAAGAGTCGGTGTACATGTGGATCTACCCCTGAGCATTTTCTCGGGTATGCTCCCTATCTGCTTCATTTCAATCCAACGGGAAACTTTTGTCAAGCGGCTGAATAATAGTGTCAATAACGCCGATCCGTTCTCTCACTCGTCCCTTTACTTTCAACAGATCCAAAAAAATGTTGAAGAGTAGCTTAGGCCCGAACTTCAATTGACGGACTGGCTCGGTCCATGGTACTTCCTCTTCCCTGGAGTCTGGACCACTGTCAAGATGAACGATGAAAGAATGTCTAAGGCTATTTAAGGCCCAAAACCGTCCCGACATTACGTGGTCGCAGGCCGTAAGGACACTGTTCTGCCCCTGTAACGTATCCCGATTTTATTCTAATCAATTCATACATCTACCGTTTTGGTAGGGGTTGAGCTGGCTTTCCGGCATCTTACATGGTTCTTCTCAGGCGGAGTCTTCGCAGTGTCGGTGGCGCTGTATGTAGGTGAAACTATTGAACAAGCAAGGTGGGAGCCTTCTCGTTTCTGAAGTATCGGCTAAGTGAAACAGTTAGTTCGCTAGGTACTTGTTGGACTCCTGAAGATATCTGAGGACAGACCCGCGGAAAATTCCCGCCTATGGGCATAAAAAAGTGTTACGTTATGGGTCCCACATCTGCGTAACGTTTCAAATTTCAATGTACATGTAGTGCCTTCTTTGACGAGTCACTATTACGGATGGTTGAAGTGTTGGCATTTCCAGAGCCTCAGCGAGTTTGCGACGGCCAGCATGCCACCGCGTTTCCATAATGTCCAAAACGATGGCCGAGGGTCGTCTGAGTTATTTTGAACAGCACGGAATCTCTTTGTCGAGGGCATCAAATTTGAGACGACTGACTCCACTACTCTGGCACTCTTCAAGCCTGGGACCTGTCTGAGCCACAGTGATGGCGGTCTTATGGCGGTCTGATATGAGGAACTTCATAACTTACCCCTATCCGAGTCAGGAGTGACTCTCACCGTCAAAGAACTTCGTTCGTGGGATTCGGGGTAAATCTTCAGAGCAAGACTTCAGGTGAACGTCAGGTGAAGGGGTGTGAACACTTGGAAGGCAAGCAAAGGCGGCGACTGACTGAAATGGCAGAAAGCTGAATTGCATCTTATAAATTCGGCATCCGCCGAAGTCCTGACGGCATTTGTCAGAATGAAAACTCGGAGATGAACAACGAAATGTTGGGTGTGGACAAAACCCTGAACCGACGCGTGACACCCTGCGAACACTTAAGCGGCCTCTCGTACATGGCTTAAAGGATTGAGCACGCTCTCCTGATTCCTGAACAAAGATGGGAGCCTTCGACGCATT